AGGTTCGAGCAATTCTCCTGCCTCAGCTTCCCAAGTAGCTGAGATTCCAGGCATGCACCACCATGCCTGGCTAAGTTTTTTCCTATATTTTTAGAGAGGGGTTTTCACCACGTTGGCCAGGCTGACCTTCCATCTCCTGGCCTCTAGTGGTCCCCCGCCCTCATCCTCCCAAAGTGCTGAGATTAGAGGTGTGAGCCACTGCGCCCAGCTTCTGCAGCTTTTTTGTAAGAGGGACAGATAGCCAGGGCCTCTCAGAATCCCTGCGCAGCTGGCGTTGTGAGGAATTCATTTCTGCTGCACACCTCACTCAGTTGTCTGTGGCTCAACCCTTCTCCCTCAGGCTTCCAGGCTCACTGCAGTTAGATTCCTGAGTCCCTTTCCAATCTAGAACCCCAAACTTAATGTCCCCATAACTGAGTACGGGAAAGTTCCTTGCTGATGGGAGGGGGTTGGCTCCACCTGCAGTCATCCCCTCTGGGCCTAAAACTCTGCAAAGAGCTACCTCTGGTTAGATTGGCTCTGGGGTCTCAAAGTTTGGGGCATAGTTTAGTCAGGGTAGCTTTTTTTTTTCTTTTGAAGCAGAGTTTCACTCTTGTTGCCCAGGCTGGAGGGCAATGGTGCAACCTTGGCTTACTGCAACCTCCGCCTCCCAACCTCAGGTGATCCACCCATCTTGGCCTCCCAACGTGCTGGGATTACAGGCGTGAGCCACCATGCCCGGCCCAGGGTTGCTTTTATGGCAGTATGCTTGATGCATGTTTGTTTGCAATGAATAAACAAACTCTTGGCCATTAAGACCTTTAAAAGCATTTGATTTATGGAATTGGTTCCCTTCGTCCAGGCTTCACGTGATCTTGGGAGGTGGGTTTGCAGGTTTTTTCACCCTGTTTAGATGGGAACACTTAAGGAAAACTGAGTAGGATGTGCTGTCTGTTTATGAAGGAAGAATCATGCAGCAGATTTTCTTATCCAGGGCCTCTGCGTTACTCCATTTTGGGCTTGTCCATCAAATCAGAAATCCAGACATGGATGGCCCTGTCCTTAGCTAGGAACACAAAACTGATACTTCTCAAACAAAGCTATGATATATTGTTGTCAGGTTACTTACTTGTCATCAAAGCTGGGCCTCCAGCCTCATGCTGGAGAATGCTAACTGGCATGGCTCTCAAGGGTTACAGCCAATGTGTCCTTGGCCAGTAAAATATTTCTCCACGTTGGTTCTTTGCTAGCATTAACATGTATAATAGAGCTGAAGTTGGCCTGCCATGTTGTAAATAGAAAAGAGATAAAACATGAATTTTTAAGATCAGCTTAAACACCAAGAGATTAATAATTCTTTTTCTGAAATTGTGATATATATTCCTTTACCTAACAAAGACCTTTGAAGGAACAAAAATTAAATGGCCTGTCTCTATTTAAAAAACTGAATTGGAGAAAAAACTACCGTGCAGGTAAGATTATGATACACGTATGCATTTGTGGCAGAGCTTGAAGATTTTTAGGAAATAGCCACACTGGCCTTTTCCCTTATACTGGATTGTGTAAGGGAAGAATGAACATTTATTGTGTTCTCCCCAACACAATAAATGGTATACTTTTTAGGGCTGTAAACTGTCGTCAATATTGAATCCTTTAAATGCTGAATGATTGAGATCAGTTTAGGCCACAGGCAAATATTTTATCTATAGTCTAAAGTGGGCCTGGCATGGTGGCTTGTGCCTATCATCCAGTTACTCAGGAGGCTGAGGTGGGTCGATCACTTGAGGGCAAGAGTTCAAGACCAACCTGAGTAACATAGCAAGACCCATCTTTTAAAAATACAAGCAGCAAAAGGCAGCACTGGTTTAAAGCAGCATTTCTAATTTAAAGTGAAAAGACAATTTGAAATAAAATTCACCTTCACATTTTTTCATTTAACCAGGTCAAGAGTTAGGGGGAAATGATGTTATCAAAGCATTATATGCACTGTTACAACTTCTTTCAAAATATAAATGATCCCTCCATTAAATGGAGAATTATTTCCTTTTTCTGAAAGTCTTTTTTAATTCTGAAAATAATATTAGCTTATTGTAAAAAATTTAACATAAAGAAAAGTAAAAAAAAAAAGGAGATAGCTCTTAACTCAAGATTTTATTTATACATTCATCCTTTGTACATATTGAGATCATGCTATAATTCCATTTTTGTCCTACCTTTTTCTCTAAAACTATAACATAAATCTTTTTCTATGCTTTAGAAGAATTCAAATACCCAAGAAATTTTTAAATAAAACTAAATAACGATATATGTGTTATTATGTATTTACATTTATGTAGAAATGTAATTTAAATATATCAGCAATGGGATTAAAATGTAAAACAATGAGATTTTTAAAAAATCTTCTATTAATAACCCACATGCAGAACAGATTAATTCTTTTAAAAAGCCGTTCTTCAAACTTTAGGATTTCTTATTCAGTCAGAGTCATCTGCATTTCATCAAGTACACATCAGATGGTATTTACACCTACACATCACTTTATTTGCTTTGCCTGACAAAATGAAAAGTATTGGGAATTGTTCAGGGAAATATGCCAAAAGAATCTTAGAGACTCTTGAGTTTTACATATTTTCCCCGTTACACTAATGAAAAGGAATTTTGTTTGAGAACTTGACTTGGAGTGCAGCTGCAGGGCATTTGAATCTCAGTTTCCATAAGGCCTGTACCCATTTCTGTGCAGAAGTTTCTAGAATTTCCCTGAATTTGTTGGACAGAGCAGCTAAAAAAGAAGCCCAATCAGATCTGGGAATGGACTGAATTTCACATTAAAAAAAAAAATTAAAATCATTCACATTACTTTATCTTGTTTCTTTTTTTCTTTTTTTCTTTTTTTTTCTGCAGAGGGCCAAATACCTGACTGGATTTTTACAAAAATGTTTCAACCCATTATTTTGGTACAATGTAAAAATAATCTTTACTGGCTTTTCTAAGATTTTGCTTTTCTACCTTGAATAACTGTCTGTGAGATTTTCTTTTATTTGTGCAGCTTGGAGAATAAAACACAAGTATTTAGAAGAAAGCACCTACCATGGGGCCTTTGAAATGTTTACCTAAATCAAGTGTAATGAGAAACATCACCAAATGCACTGTGGAGTTTATCGTTAGATCATAAAGGCTTTAAAACCCTCCCAGTGGCCAGGTGCGGTGGCTCACGCCTGTAATCCCAGCACTTTGGGAGGCCAAGGCGGGTGGATCATGAGGTCCAGAGATCAAAACCATCCTGGTCAACATGGTGAAACCCCATCTTTACTAAAAATACAAAAATTAGCTGGGCATAGTGGCACATGCCTGTAGTCCCAGCTACTCAGGAGGCTGAGGCAGGAGAATTGCTTGAACCCAGGAGGCAGAGGTTGCGGTGAGCGGAGATCATGCCATTGCACTCCAGCCTGGGTAACAAGAGCAAAAGTCCATCTCAAAAAAAAAAAAAAACCCTCCCAGATCCTAAAAATGCCTGGGATGGATGATTTCTGTTCATATGCTACCTCAGCATGTAGTTTTGGAGTGCGTGGTTAGGTCCATGGCGAATGGCAGTGGTACCATTCAACAAGATTCTGGGTCTTGAGAATAGTTCAAAGTTTTATCGCTTCTCTCTGGATAAGCCATCTTTTTGACCTTTGGGTAAATTATAAACTACTTTCCAGATTATGTCCAAATGGTCACAGGTACTTTGACAATTTTTACTGTAGCTGCCAATAAATAATACTCATCTTTAAAAAGATGTTATTCTGGCTGGGTATGGTGGCTCACACCTGTAATCCCAGCACTTTGGGAGGCTGAGGCAGGTGGATCATTTGAGGTCAGGAGTTTGAGACCAGCCTGGCCAACATGGTGAAACTCTGTTTCTACCACAAATATAAAAATTAGCCAGACATGGTATTGGGCACCTGTAATCCCAGCTTCTTGGGAGGGCGAGGCAGGAGAATTGCTTGAGCCTGGGAGGCGGAGGTTGCAGCGAGTAGAGATTGTACCACTGCACTCCAGCCTGGATGACAGAGAGAAACTCCTTCTTAAAAAAAAAAAAAAAAAAAAGCGGGCATCATTCCATTGTCAATTCTTTTTTGCTGGTCTGTGCCCTGAACTGGTGATAGGGGTGCAAAGGGAGTGAGCATTGTCCTTTACCTCAGCAAGTGTGTGGCCTGGTAGGCAAGAGAGGCACGTCAGAATGTTTATCATTTAAGTTAAATTAACTATCTGAAAAGTTCTAGAATAATCACGTAATCAGTGCTCTAGAAATCAGGAAGGGAGCACAGAAAGCTGCCGGGAGAAATGGAGGAAGGTAATGAACAAAAGTCACGGTTCCATCTCTAAGCTCCCAAAGAAAAAAATTGGATTACCTTGGTGGTGCTCATTCTTTTCTAAATCACCAATGATGATTTGGAATCTGAGCTGACGATAGGGAAAAACGAAAAAAAAATTTTGATACCAAACGCAGGAAGGAGGTGAAATAAAATTTTTATCGTAGCTCCCCTTTTATTGCTCCCAATAAATACTTCCTACTTTGTGATTTTCCTGAATTGTATTAGTTGGCCGAAAGCTGAGCGGTCCTGTGTTTTTAATTAAGAATTGGATGGCTAGACAGAGTTTTGAGGAGGTCATCTCTGGGCGTGTCTGCTTTTGGCTTTCTCCGGCAGCTATGCTAGCATATCCCTGGGAATGGAAATGCAATCCTTCATGTGACACAGTTTAAGTAAACCACTTAGTCCTCTGCAAACACCAAATGCTCAGTACGGTACTTAAATGGCACCGTGTTTGATGCCACAGTTTCTTTATAGGCTCTTCTAAGACTGTGATGCCTGTGGGCTTTTAGCTGCCTTTATTGATGTTGTATCCAAGAAAACAGAAAGTTGACTCCACGTGGAAGTATTAACATCTTTGTATAACTTTTCCGTCTTCGCCTTGACCCCACTCCAAATCTGCTATTTAGACAGATGCAGAGGTGACTGATAAGCCAGGGTCTTGTGGCTTCAGGAGTCTGAGGTTTCTTCCATGCAGCGGTGTTGGGATAGGCTCACCGGCTTCTGGCCACAGCGGGTACCAGCGAATCCACTGACCACTGGGTCCTCATCCTGCTTCCTGCTTCAGTGCATTTGACTTTCCTGGAATCAGTCTCTTCCTTGGCCTTCCTTCTTCTCCAAGGTTCTCTTATTTTTTATTTATTTTTTATATTTTTAGAGACAGGGTCTCACTATATTGTCCAGGCTGGTCTCGAACTCCTTGGCTCAAGCAACCTTCCTACCTTAGCCTCCCAAAGTGCTAGGATTCCAAGCATGAACCACTGCACACAGCCAGGTTCTCTTATTTTCTAGTACACCTTCCTAGTTTCCTTTTGGACTCTCTTCTTCTGACTGCTCATTAAAAGAAAATGTACTTCACTCTTCTGTCCTTACCCCTTTTCTCACTCAGTGCACTGTCCTTGGGTGATCTTACCCGTTCCATGCTTTAAATGGCTAATTATAGTATTTCCATCCATGGAGAACCTGGTTAAGTTAGATGACTGGCTTTGCCTCCCAGCTCTACTGCTTACCAGTTGTGTGACTGTGGGCATGTTGCTTAAACTCTGTGCCTCAGTTTCCTCATCTATCAAATAAGGGCACAAAAATAATTAACCCCATAAATATGAAGCATAGCACCTCTCCTGCCAACTGCCCCAGTCTATTCTCAGTTTTAGCTGGTTAACGTTTATTCATTTGTCAGGTCTCACCTAAGATGTTTTCCTCCAGGAATCATTCCCAGATGTTCAAATCTAGTTAGATCCTTCTTGCACGTCCCCTCACAATTCAGTCTGATTGCCCTATTTTCCTGTCTTAGTGTTGGTCACATTTATCGAAATTGCTGATGTATTCAGATCAGCTAGAAGCTGGTGAGGGTAGAGTGGAGTCTGGCTGGATCATCACTGTGCCCCAGGGTCTAGCGTAGTGCCTGACTCTAGCAGTGCTTGAAAAATATCTGCTGAATGAATGACTCATGGAATTGCAGGGTACAATGATGCCTCTAAAGACATTCCTTCTTTCTGGTCACATCCCTAGGTTTTGTAGGTCAGAACTATTGGATTTGTTATGGCTAAGTGTCCCTGACAACGTGGCTCACAGTAACTCACGGAAGACCAAATCGTAAACCCAAATGACAGCCTTTAAAGTTTTTAACGATGCTTGTGGTGTGCTAAAGAACGATTTTATGAGGCTATGCTTGCTAATGTAATAGGCTCTCTTCAGCACCCAATACTGTGATGTTATGAACACGGGAACATTTGGTGTTATAGAGTGTTGTCATCAGCAATAAGCTTCTCAAGAGCACAAGTTTCCGCCATAGGATACATCAGGTCTTTGGCTCTGAGTATTTGAAGGACTGTCATATGGAAAGGGATCAGGCTGAGTGTGTCAGATTCCAAGAGCCGGGACACAAAAAGAATGCAGATGCCTTCTATTTAGAACAAAGAACTTTTGAACGGTAATAGCTGTCTGGAAATGAGTGGGCCACCCTGGAGGTCAAGACCTTATCACATCTGTGTTCAAGCGTGGCAGGGAGAACTCCTGGGCAGGGATATCTGGGAGGAGAAGGACAAGTGAGGGCTTTAGGGTCCCTTCTAATCCTGAGAGTCTGGCAGTGCACTACTCATCCAAGGCCCCATGCCCACACCGTAGGCCCTGTGCCCACATTGCCCCAGTAAATGCCTCAGGAAGAACAAGTGCTACAAATTCATCAGCAAGAAATGCCATCATCAGCTTAATAATTTAAGCCATTTGGATGAATGGTTTTATGGCCTTTCTTGTAATTGATGTTGTTATTGGCACTGCCCAGTAACATTTCCTTTTTTGGTCTCTTGGTAAAGGTGTGTCTGTATCTTGACTTTGGCTTATGCCTGGCCTGTGTGATGTGTGTAGACTGTAATAGCCCGAGAAAATTAAATTATGGAGTGCATTTTGGAATAAGCACCCTCACAGTTGATTCTGGTGTCTTCGGCTGGCTTTGCCTAGGTTGTCTAGGAAATATTAAATTCAACCTTTCCCCTCAAACTCAGGATCACGCCCACGCCTCTTGGAGAAGGGAAGAGCACAGTCACCATCGGGCTTGTGCAAGCTCTGACGGCGCACCTGAATGTCAACTCCTTTGCCTGTCTGAGGCAGCCTTCCCAAGGACCGACATTTGGAGTGAAAGGTACTGTCTTTAACAACTAGTGTACTTTTCAGGGCAAAGTTGGGGGGAGAAAATTTTAAAAAGAACATCGTCAACAGATAAAGAGTTAAGACTTTTCAAGGGGACCTGGCACATTTCTTTGCTGCACACTTGGTACGCAGGGGTCACCCCATGTTGGGCCCTGGGCATGACGATGAGCAGTGGGGGCTGCCAGGGCTTCCCTGGACCTCTCAGGAGCCTATTCCTGAGGCTGCATTGCTCAAGGCTCCCACCTTGAGAGTTATCACATGTTATCAGGGCCGTCTTTGCCAAGTGGTCTTGAAACACTGCCATCCATATCGGTGTTTGATCATCCCAGTTCCGGGGAAAGGTCTTTCCCTCTGCTTTAGTCTTGGCTCATTGGAATTGCTGTGTGGGGCCTGCAGAGCTCTCTGGAGACGGACTGGCTGTGGACAGCGAGTTGTGGTGAAATTCTGCTCTGGCTGTGGTTGGGCTGATCTCTGGCACCTTCCCATTCATTACTCCTTCTGCCATGATTTATCATGAAATCATTCCTTAGCTCACTTTACAATCCTGTTTATGGCTAAAATTACAGTTTGTTCTTGGCACTTTGTGGTTTTTTTTTTTTTTAACGATATTTATATTACTGTTAACAAATATGAATAACTCTTATCTCATTAAGTACTGATAACTCATAGCGTGTCATGCATCATGTAGCGGAATGAACACTAGAGTGGGAGCAAGAAGGCCAAGGCTTTAGTCACAGCCGTGTTTCCTACTGCGGTGTGACCCTGGGCAACTTGAGCCAGTCACAGCCTCTCGGAGCCGCATCTCTAAAAGTGTAAACCGCTGAGAGCGGCACCAGGCTCGCCCAGTTGTTGTGAGGATCAAACGAGAAAGCACTTAGAGAACGAGGATACTGTCAGTTGATATACACATGGGCGGTGTTGTTCCTGCTTTACGAAAGAGAAGTTCTTTTACTCCCATAACCAACATTTTGAGGGATAAGCAGCGTGACAAATCTTACATACTGTTATCTGAAATAAATTGAAGTTTATAATTTATTTGTCTGAGGTGGCTATGCGGTGGGGTTCTTTTTGTTTTTGTTTTTTTGGTTTGTTTTGAGACAGAGTCTCGCTTGGTCACCCAGGCTGGAGTGCAGTGGCGTAGTCTCAACTCCTTCCAACCTCCGCCTCCCGGGTTCAAGTGATTTTCTAGCCTCAGCCTCCCAAGTAGCTTGGATTACAGGCACCCGCCACCATGCCCAGCTAACTTTCGTATTTTTAATTGAGATGGGGTTTCATCATGTTGGCCAGGCTGGTCTCAAACTCCTGACCTTAAGTGATCTGCCCTCCTCAGCTTCCCTAAGTGCTGGGATTACAGGCGTGAGCCACCTCACCCAGCCAAAGTGGAATTTTTTTAAACAAAGTTTTCTGAAACATAAAAGCGTTAGATAAAGCATAGTCACAGAGACCTAATAATAAATTAACAAAATAATCTCATATCCTGGTTTGACAGCTGCTCTGTTACTTTTACCTTTTTTTTTTAAGAAAGGAAATGGAGGTCTTTAAACTGCATAGTTAGACAAAGTATCAACTTTTTTTTTTTTTCTGTTCCGCTTGGACATAACCATTAATGTCTCTGTCTGCCTTTTGTTACTTCATCTTGAGTGTGATGCCTCTCTGTTGGGGTTGGGGAGCTGCGTGCCTCAGGCTGTGTCCATTGTGGCAGGTGTACTTGGTGACCCGTTTGAAATGCCACTTGCTCTGTTGTTTAGGAGGAGCCGCCGGTGGTGGATATGCCCAGGTCATCCCCATGGAGGAGGTAAGAACTTAAAGAGGTGTGGGTCAGGTATCACTGTATTTCCTTCCTGACATCTGTCCTCTGCTCCCTCCACGCAGGCCCACAGACCCTCATCCACAGTCCCAAAGTCCTCAAGGCTCTGAAACCCCAAAATGTTTGCCTAACTCATGCAGTGGCACACCCTGACATTTACTGTGGTGAGCTTTATATGGATTTTGTCTGTGCTACTTGGTGTGAATATTCGTACATATTGCTGTAGAAAAATTAGTTTTGATTAACAGGTGCTGACTGAGCCCCTGCTTGGGGTGTTTTATAAATAAACTACATGTAAATCACACTGCCTTTCTAAACTCCAAAAAATTCTGAAACCCTGCTGGCCTTGCAGGTCTGGATGAGAGAATGTGCGTCTGTGCCTCCCTCGGTCACCTGCTGTACTGCCAAGTTCACAAAGACCTGATGCTTCCCCCTTTCAGTTCAGGCTCCAGTGTGAGCCTTGGCAGCACAAATATTAAAACTGGAATGACACAGAGATTAGCATGGTCCCTGCATGAAGATGACATGCAAATGTGTGAAGTGTCCCATTTTAAAAAAAAAGGACTCCAAAATAAAAGAGTTCCAGAGGAAAATGGGCAAAAATAACTGATGTTGTTAATTCTTCCTTTTCTAAAACACCCCCTGCGTTCTGCATTATCTCTTCGTCGCCTGTAACTAACTAGTGACCAGTTCACTTCTACTCTCTGCATCAGCCTCACCATTCGGGCCCCGGCAAGCTTCTGAAACCCAAATCTGAGCGGGTCACTTTCCTGTTCTGTGATTTCTGCTGTCACCTGTCACCCTTCAGTACAGAACAGGAGGCCCCCATGGCCGGCTGCCCCTGCTTCCCTGTTTGCAGGTCCCCACCTGCCTTCTTTTCTCCCCTGGGTCAAGCTCCTTGCAGATTCTTTTTTTTTTTTTTTTTTTT